GACAGTTATCTTCTTGTTCTCGTGTACAGACACAACTGTATTACTAATAGTCACTGGTCTGACTAGTAGCCTGTGAGTTTCTTGGGCTTTCTAGATCCCTCATAAAACCTCCTTCCAATGGATGATCTTAGATGGGAAGAAAGGGTGTTAGGACCTCAGGTTACTGGCTCTCTGTGCCATGGATACAAGTGTGCACTCTCTGCTTAGATACAAGTAGTATCTGGGCATATGAAAGGGGCCACCCATTTCTTGGCAGTGTTAACTTGAAATTTAGCCACTGCATCCAGGAACAAAGGGCATGAAATATGCTGATGACTTGCTAGATGAGAGAGATGATCTAGGCTTTGACAAAGAGAGGGAGGATTTTCTTCCTGAGCCCCCTGCTCAGGCATGAGCTTCTATCGTGTTTAGTAGGAGGAGGAATGACAGGAGGACAGGTTGTGGCTCAAAGAGATCAAGACTCACTAATCCTAGATTAAGTAGATTTTCTTGAATAAATGTTTCTTCATTTGCTCTCTGTACTCAGGACAATTTCAAAAGGCTATTTTATATTAAAAAATCTAATGTATCTCTTGAGGGCTTCGTAGCTCATGGCCACTATTCTGAGTATGGAGGTTTACTCAGTGAAAAGTTATAACCTCTACATGGCTTCCACTCTGACCTATTAGACCTTGCAAGGATAGGTCCCTCTGGTGACCTGCCTTTCAAGACTCCTGTCCGCTGCTGTGCCAAGTTTACTGGAAATGGCATTTACTGGGACGTGTCTTCTGGCTATGTTGGCGTTCAGTATTTGTAGAAGTCGTGTGGCACAGGTGTGTGTGTGTGTGTGTTGTCTGTCTTTAATTGATGGAGGATCAACAGAGCAGTCTGCATTATTCTTTAGAAAATATGTATTTTGTAGGCTTAAGGGTTGAGCCAGCAACATACTGTAATCACATTCGCAAAGTAATTTTATATAGTTCCTCCATCAATTATCAAATCCTTAACATTTAGTCACTAAAAGATTAGAGGATATTGTCGCTTTATATTTTATCATTTTTAATGTTATTAACAATAGTAATAAATAGAATGAATAAAGATAAGTGATCATGAGCATCTTTTCTGAACATGACCTAGATTAGAAGGATCACAGCTACACTTTAGTCTACACTTTGGGTCAGATTGTGCCTTTGTGAACAAAGCCAGTGCTTTGTCCTGGATGATAAAGGTCTTTGGCCTGGAGTCAAGACTGACCTCTGTGAAGCAGACTTAAATTTGGTGGTCTCTTTGTGATGATACAGGATGGCAGACAAACACATATAGCCTATAACATATGCCTGTAGCCATGAGGCATGGAATGAGATCAGGAAAGAAGCTACACTAACATATAATCTAGGAGAAAGTGTCACAGGTGCCAGAGTCATGAATTCAACTATCTAGTACCATGAAAGATGAAATACAGGTGAAATAGAATGAAGTGTTGTGCAAAGGGGTGCTATTTTATCAATGACTTTAGTTGAATATACTGAAAATGAGACGTTGATAAAATTGAGTTATAGCAGCTCTTGGATTGTTTCTGAAAATGCATTTTATGAAAGTACTGGTTGAATATAACTTTTGGTCAGGTCTGACATATCCACATCATTAGTATAGATTGTTAGAGGGTCAGCAATTTCCCTTATTCTCTCTCACTCTCACATACACACACAACCACACACATATAATCACAAACGAGCTCTCTCTACATGGACTGTTTGTATTTAATCATATGCTGATAACAGTATAAACACAAAAGGGGTTGTTTTTGGTAAGTTTATTGGAAATTCCAAATAATCAATAAAGCTCTGAACTGGCTTTATAAATAGAAGAAAACAGAAGAAATATATTTGGCTGTCATTGTTTGAACGGGTAACAGTATCAATATAAATAATATAACAGCTACACATAGTGCCTCACAGGAGAGTGTCTTAGAGATCAGCAATCTAGAATTTCTCAGAAGCCAGAAGAACAGTATCTTCCATAGCAGCATGGGTAGTAATAGACTTGTCCATAATCACTATAACCACGTCCATAGCCACAGCCCAGGCACCCACAGGGCTGCCTGTAGAAGCTCATGGTGTCAGGAAAGGAAGACTAAGTTAAACAACAGAGCTGCTTCTAGAATGCCAAGTTTATCATCTACACAAAGCCTTACATGCAAGCTGAGTAGTATGTGAGATGAAGTACAGGCACTGTTGGCATTCAAACAACCTCAAGAATTCCTCCTAACCAATATATCCAAGACAACTTTGCTGTGTGTCAGGGTGTTGGCAATAAAGTCATGTGCCCCTAATGAGAGAATTTTCTGTTCACTTTTTTGGTTTCTAAATCTAAACCATGTTATTTGCTGTCCTGACATGATATAGCCAATGAAGCTATATAGCTATATAGCCAATTTAAACCAGATTCTAAATTTAAACCATGTTATTTGCTGTCCTGACATGATATAGCCAATGAAGACTCTACCTATAGAAAATCCCAGTTTTATTTAATAATATCCTCCTTCTACCTGCATGAATTCAGGGAAGAAAATAGAAAGGTCTCTTAAAAAGTGTAGTGTTATCAGATGAAACCATAGATATAACCAAGGCTGTGACAGGCAAGACAGTGTTGGCTGTTTTCTAAACTGTGGCTTGTCAGATGTAGCAAATAAGAGTCCAGGACATCCAGAAAAACAAATTATTTTAGTGTAAGTATTCACCTTGCAATATTCGTGGTAGTCAATATTCTGAATATCAAATTTGAATTTCAATATTCTAAAATTAAAATTTAACTGCATGTCTGGTATTTACTATAGTGACATTAATGTGGGAAGGCTTCCTAGGGTTACGGTCAAGGTAGGTCATGATCTTGTGTGTCATGCACACTTTGAGATGTAGAAGAAAATAAAAAGACTAAATAGTTTAGAGAATCGGGTACTTAATTTTGCCTTGCTAAATTTCTAGTGGCTATTAACCAATGGAGATATCAAGTATGTACTTGGAGATCATACATATAAATATATGCATCTATAAAGATTAGAAGGAAATCTATAAAATATATGAAATATTATATACATGAAAGGTTCAAAATATAAATTGAGAAAAGAATGTATCCAAGTCCACCCATGTAAACAGAATTTAAGAGGTAGAGACTAGACTGAGACTTAGGAGGGCCAAACACTGATCATGCTGTTGATCATGTTGTTCTGAATATCCATCCATTTATTGCACACAAACTAAAGATCCTATGCATTAAATTTACAAGTCTGAGCTCTTACTTTGAAAGAATTAGTATTGTTAAATTGTAAGTACAATCTATTAAAGTACGTTCCAGAGAGGCATCCTCACTGAAGTTCAAATACAGATGAGTTTCTCAAAAAAGCAAATTCCATTTATAATGTTACAAAACAATGCTTCTTCAAAAAATTAAAATTATGGCCTCCCTGGTGGTGCAGGGGTTAAATCTCAGAGCTATCAAGCTATCATCAGCTACTGCAGCATGAGTTTGATACATGGCAAGGGAGTTAACCCACATTTGGCGGGTAGACCTCTCCTGTCTTGCCCGCTGTTCCCTTCAGCAGTGTGTTTCAGTACATCTACCTGTTCTCTTCTCCATTCTATCTCTGGGGAATCCTCTCACCCCCACACCTCTAGCCTATACCCCAGTTCTTGTATGCATAAATAAATAAATATTTGAAAAGGAAAAAAAACAACAAAAAACATAAAATTAAAAAGATATACCTACCAAGAAAAAATTATGAAAAGTATGGTTCAAAACACACAATGACAAAATAGATTAATGTGTTTCATACTAGTTTACATTAGTCTGTTCATATTGTTTACATTAGCATGAAAATATCTTTTAGCTTCATTATTTCTTTTGACTCATTTGAAATAGTTGTCATATTGGTGAGTGGTACTTTAAAAAATCTATGTCTTCATTCTGATATCTCCAGAGCTATTAAAATGCAGAATTTCTAATTTAATTTTTAATAAAATGTTATTGACTTACCATTGATTTACAATAGCATACAATTTTAATTTCTTGAGCCATCTTCACTGCAATGTCAACCAGACTGAAATTATACTTTCTAGAATCTGCCTAGACATTTTAGCTCACTGTCATTGAATATCAGAAATTTGGATGAACGTATGTATAACAATGCCTTTCCATGAACATTTTCTTAAAGACACAGAGGTACATTTTTGAAACTATGCTATAAACCAATCCCATTTTTATCACAATCCAATAGGATGGATAATCATACTGAAATTCAAGGGTTATACCTGAGGGCACAGCATTTCAGGTTGCAATGTATGCTGATTTTATGTTTTGAGAAAGGAACATCTTAGTCTAATTTATTGTTAACACAAATACATGATACTAACCCTATTGGATAGATGCTTGGAATATTAATTTCTGATGGTATATACAATTAGAAAAAATAAAAGAAATCTAACTATTGAATTTCAGAGAAAAATATGTTTTTTTTTTGTCTTTCAGTAGAAACTGAATATAAATGAGAATTACATTGGCATAAGTAGGAAAGAATGCATTTTGTTCAGACCTGGCTCTCTTGACATTTTAATGAGTTAAATTATTATTGATATTATGAGCATGAAAGATACATTATGGATTCACTATAGAAGAGAGTTTAAAGTCTGAAGAAAGTATTAATTTGAATCAGGAAAGTAGAAAGATTAAAGAATCAAAAGGAATGGTTTTTGGGAAAATGATAAAATAATATAATCATTTTGGGGGCTAAGAGCATAAAAATGTATTCTTTCTTGACATAAGGATAGACATAGGAATTAAAATAAAAGTTTAGGTTGGGGCAAGATTGTGTGTGTGTATGTGTGTGTCTCTTATTCTTCAAGCCCTCAACTGGAATAAGAGGAGCCAGAACTAGGCACCACACACAGCAAACTCTGAGTTTCTTTGACGCATTATGTTATGGTTGAGAAACAACAATCTAATTAGATTAGTCATGAAAGGAGACAATGGCATTGACCACACCCATTGGATGGGCAGTGGTCACACCCACTGAGAGGGTGTATAAAAAGCCCTCTTCAGAGGCACCATCCATACTGAAGTCACCTATTCTTCTTCTCTACCCAACGACAACCTCAACCACCAACACCATGTGTGGCAGCTACTACGGAAACTACTATGGAGGCCTGGGCTGTGGCTACAGAGGCCTGGGCTGTGGCTACGGAGGCCTGGGATATGGCTACGGTGGCCTGGGCTATGGCTATGGCAGCCTGGGCTATGGCTATGGTGGCCTGGGCTATGGCTATGGTGGCCTGGGCTGTGGCTATGGCTCCTGCTATGGCTGTGGCTTCCGCAGACTGGGTTGTGGCTATGGATATGGTTCTGGCTACGGTTGTGGCTCTGGCTATGGCTACTACTATTAAGGAGATGGTGGGAGAGTCTCTTATTCTCCACCTGGACATCAGGATTCACCCATTCCATATCCCACAATCTCTAAGTTCTATGGTTGGGTGATGATAATCTACTACTACAGTTTTCAGTCTTAATTTTTCTGAAGAATCATCTTCTAACATCATCAAAATTTGACCTACAGTCCTGTGTTCCTCGATGTAAATCATGAAATATGAAATTTGTTCCTCTGAACTCCATCATAATCTTTCATAGGAATGATGTCACAAATCCTGCCTTTTGATTTCTCTGTCTTTCAAATAAACTTATTCAATTTTATACAATTTGATTTTCTTTTCATTTGTTATCTAGTGTTTATCTTTTTTGCTTTTTTAGTTGCTTGTATTAAAGGCAACAATTGTCCTCTTTAGGAAATATATTTTTATATTTCTGATTCAGGGACAAAGTTCCTGATTTTTAACATTAAGAAACTAGCAATCTTTGTAGTTTATAGTTTTCTGTTCTGGTTATGTGGTACTGATGTGTTCTGCTGGGATAGTAAGATAAACAAGACAGCTTTTGTCATTTTAGTTAATCATTGTCTGGAAATGTTATATATTTCAAGGGCTTCTACAACAAAATTTTTATTTACAAGAAATTTCATAGAAGATATGAGTATTGACACATGATTCCTGCTTTTAATCTTTGATTTGGGCATGTGTAAGCAAGAAGTGTTTCTTATGTGTGTCCTGCATAAGACAGACAAATTCAAGCTTATTCTGACCTGGCCCACCCAGATTTTATAAACACTACCTTGATTTAAAAATATGTTTTAAAAAACAATGACAGATGAATGGGTTAAGCAAATGTGGTATATTTACACAATGGAATACTACTCAACAATGAAAAATGAACCCTATCCATTTGCAACAACATGAAGGGAACTTGAACCAGATAATGTTGAGTGAAAAGTCAGAAGGAGAAAGAAAACATCAGAGGATCTCAGTGATATGTGGAATATAGAGTAACAAAACAAAGGGTCAGTCAAAGCCAAACCAAAAATGACATCATTTCTAAAACCTGTTACATATTTATGTTCAGTCATTTCATGGGATTCTGAATATTTATTCTGAGTGATTTCTTTTCTGTAATTTGTGTGGTTTTACAGTTTAAACTGCAATAATTTGCTTTTCATTAATTTTCTGTGACTCATATTCATAAACTTATTAATTATATTTTATTGAAATGAAGTCTCTAGACCTTGGACATGTGTGAGTTTAGTGTGGTATTTAGTTTAAGGTCATAAATATGCTCCAATTTATGTTGAGATATTCACAGTTTGAAGATCTTGACCTCCCAAGAAAGAATTCAGATCCCTCAAAAGATCAAGCCCCAAAGGTGTCATTTTTTTTCCAAGTATGCCTATGTGAGGTTTTGTCTTACCTAACATAGGTAAGACAAAAAAAAACTCACTTTATTCTTGAAGCTTAGAATTTCACAAGTCAATACTGTTGTTGATTATGTTTTTCCAGATCTTCCTCCAAAAAGTATTTTAATGTCACTTAAAATAGATAATATTTTATTTTGCTTATTTAGAAATATGCATTATTCTCAAAGGAGATTTTGTAATGTGGACAATAGAGATAGTAATTTGCAACACCACAAAAGAAATTTTACTATCCATGTTCATTGTAGCTGCTCTGGTGTTATGTTAGTTTTATGTTAGCATGTTAATGATATTCTACTACAGATTCTCTTTATTTTCTCCCAGTCTGAGTTTTTCTTTCTTACACATGGAATCCTAAGATATTTATTTATATTATTTTTTAAAGCATACTTGTATGTTTTTTCATAATATAAAATTTCTCACCTTAGTTGTCGTCATCCTAGTTTTCTCACTTACTTCCTTGGTTGCAGACATTGCAGTCTGCAAATATGAGGTTTGGAAACAGCCATTATAAATTCTATTATTCCCCTCCTTAAATGTTATTTATTTGCCACTACTTTCAATATACGACGGTTCTAACCACCACCTACTTGTCCATAGTTCTTCTTTGAATTTGGACTCCATCAAGTTATCTATCTATCTGTCTACCTACCTACCTACCTACTTACCTATCATCAATCTATTTCTCTATTTGCATATCTCTTCCCAAGTGATATATATCCAATATCTTTCTAAAGTGACCTTGGGAATTTACCAGAGCCACTGCATACCAGAAAAGGAGAATATTCAATCTTTTAAAATGCTGAGCTCGTTTTATGTGGAAACCCTAAATAAAAGAATTATCTCTCATAGGTTGGAGGCACAGAGAGACCAGATGCTAACCCACTGGAATCATTGGCCTGAATATGTCTCACAGTGGGGATTAATGGTTCCACGAACCAATCTTGTAGTAATTACTGCAGTCCTGTGATCATAAATGGCATGCATATATATAGAAGCTATAAAAAATCCTTACATGGTTCCCTGACCAATAAATTATAGTGGGAATAGACCCTGAATATAGTTAGCAGCCAAGATAGTTTACCAGAATCAAGGTTACATACTACAATTTTATTAGTCAGGGTTCTGCATAGATAGGTAAAGAGACAGAGAGTGAGGAGATAGGAATTATCTCATATGACTATTGAGGCTCAGGATCCATAATCTGCTCTCTGCAAGTTGGAAAAATAGGCAAGTCAGTAGAGCAATCAAGTCTGAGTCCAAAGGTTTGAGATGCAGGAGATGCAGGGGATCAGGCAAGACCAATGTCTGAGGACAGAAGAAGATGAATGTCCTGGCTCAGCTAAGAGCAATTCTTCCTTTCTCTGCTCTTTGTTCGATTCAGACCCTCAATGGATTGGATGACGGCTGCTGACAACAGTGAAGGTGATTTTCTTACTTAGTGTATGGACTCAAATGTTAATTCCATGAGATCTGACTTCATCTGAGTAAAGCAGTGAACTCCAAGAGATAATTGTTGGTGTCTCGCTGGTCCACAGTCTGCCTTCATCCTATCAGTCATACTGATAGTTTCCCATTGCAGGTCATTGACATTCTCAGTACAAAGTCTGTCTCCCAGCAAGTGCCAAATGTTCCTGATGCAAGCCTCAAATATCCCTGATGCTGAGAGAAATGCAGTAACTATGCAGCTACAGTCACTCACTCATGCATGCAAGCGCACCTCTTCCCCCCACACAAACATACATGATCACACACTTGCACATATTTTTATACTCAGAAATTATAAGGGTAAATGAATATATGTAAAATGTATACTATACTTACAAATGAACTTATATTTGATGAAAAATAAAATTAGAATTTTCCCAAAGAAGTATTAAGATTGGATTTATACAAACATATGAAATAGAATTTTTCCCCACAAAATCATTAAATAATCCAGATGGTTAATGAATATTTGACTCTATTATCAAAGTAGCCTAGGATTTCAATGTTAGCATTATGATAGAAAAAAAAATAAGTATAGTAAGATTTTGGTAGAGAGAAGAGAGAATTAGCTTAGAGCTTTCTGCACTATGAGTTTGGTAATCACTGAAAAAATAAATCATTCCATCTATCTTATCTAAGCCTTATTAATGAAAATCCTTGACAAGAGTAGCAGTCATAGACCTCTCATCACATGGGGGGAGAGGCTTACATCAGCCCAACATACCAGGTCCCTGTTGAGACTGGAGGCAGCCTGCATACTATCTCAAAGACTTAATGATCTATGCAGCACAAAATACAAAGACCTAAAAGCACCATAAAATAATAAAATTCCCTTTATCTTTTACCAGACAAGAAGCAGATTTACAAAGTTCACAGATTTCTCTGAAGTCATAAATTTAGGAATTGGTACAGCAAAGATAAATAATGAGGAAAATTATTTCCCAAAGAAAAGTAACTGTATTCCCACAAACAACTAAAGATGTAAACTGCATAATAAATGAATAGAAATAAAAGCAATTTTCTCTCACAGATTTATTAAGACATACAATATTTATTAGGAAAACAAATTTAGGATAAAATCACAAGAGTTGGAGTTACAGCAACCTCATTTTGATACCAAGGGGAACATGAGTTCACAAGATGAATTTTATGTTCTTCCAGGTATTAGTGGCACCAGAACCAGGTATCTTGTTAGAAAATCATAACAGAAGTCTGTAGTAGAGTGTAGGATAACATTTGAGGAAAAAGCAGGGAACTGGTAGGGTTCAGAACTGGCTAATCATTAGAAGATTCCTCAGATGATGGGAGCTTGTCATGTTCTCAATAGTAGTAGCCAAAGCCAGAGCCACATCCATAGCCAGAACCATATCCACAGCCGTAGCCACAGCCCAGTCTGCGGTAGCCACAGCCATAGCAGGAGCCATAGCCACAGCCCAGGCCACCATAGCCATAGCCCAGGCCACCATAGCCATAGCCCAGGCCACCGTAGCCATAGCCCAGGCCTCTGTAGCCACAGCCCAGGCCTCTGTAGCCACAGCCCAGGCCTCCATAGTAGTTTCCGTAGTAGCTGCCACACATGGTGTTGGTGGTTGAGGTTGTCCTTGGGTGGAGAAGGAGTATAAAAGTGTTACTTCAGTGTGGACATTTCTCCCTCCACAAGGCCTTTTATAGGACCTCAGTATGGGTGGGACCCACCACATGAGCTCACCTCATTGGCTCATTTTTAGGAACAATCTAAGTAATTTGTTGACGCCTGGTTTTAGACATGGCTTCACAGACAATGAGGAAATCTGCTTTGTCTCACCACATCTGAACCAGTTGGTGCACCATTCATGAGAAACCATTTTCTCATCCTCAAAGCCTTACTCATGAGATTTAAAAATGACTGTTTTGTAACCAATCTTTATGGAAAGAAATAACATTTTTATTGACAATCTTTACCTGCTCCAGGCAGACAATTATTTTATCTTCTTTTTATTGACATTCAGCACATCATCATATTCTACTTTAACCTTGAACCTCTTCGTCTATTACCTCTTGCTTCATATCTATTATTTTCCTTTAGTGATTCTTCACATCTTTATGTGAGAAATGGTTTATAACTGAAAGCCCAAGAGTTATCATTTCGCTTCATGAGGTGTTTGACAAGAGGCAAATAGTTTGAAATTTTGGAACACCAGGCCTGAGGACACCAGGCTTTTCCTTCTCATTTATATTAATTTTTAAACTTTTAACACTCTATTTTGAAAGCATGAAGTGCTTTTTTTCATAGTCTTAAATAGAGATGTTAAATCCACGGTCAGGAGAAACAAAGAGAAAGATAAATTTTCATTTGATTTTTTGGAATCACATCTTCAAGAAATGATTTTATGGAAAATAAAATATTTGTGCTTTTAGTGATCCTATGGAAGGTGAGGCTCATATTTTACATCCAACGATAATATTAGGAGAGTTGTCTCTTCATGAAACCTACTAGGTTTTTCCTAACAAACAAGCTCTTGGTAAAATAACACAAACTGTGAGAAACATGGGGAACACTCATTACTATTTTTTATCATCATGTTATTATTATTACCACACTGAGCTCAGTGGAATTCAGTGACTAAGTCAAATAATACTCTGAACTTCTGTGTTCCTGAGAGTCAGTAGAGCCCAGTAGATAAGAATAAAATGTGCATTCTTCTGGCTCATACTTCTAATTTTTGTTTAGAGAAGTTTTGTAATTTAGCCTTTCATTTACATATGCTCTTTTGGAAGCATATTTTAAAAATGTACGTTCACTTATCTACACCATCTCCTGGTGAGGAGAATGGTGAGTTTGTGAGTTGTTTGTTTGTGTGTGCACGCACAAGTGCATTGGTCTTCTGTTGAGTGGGGTGATGCTGAGGGATCTCCTTGCAGTAGAAAACCCCGATTTTACTATCTCAAGGACTTGCAGTAGGAGGCCACTGGCATGACTGAAGTGATTAATGCAGAGAATTGACTAAGTCACCAACAAGTGTCTCACACAAGAATCTTGAGAGTGTTGCTTTTGTCCTATATACAAAAAGGCAGGATGAAAGAAAACTGCGATACTGAGGATTCTCTGCGTAAGAGAGGAAAATCTCACCTAGGGAGAGGATAAAGCTCTGAAGTAGAACTTCAATAAACATGTTCTAAAAATATTTTATTGGCTATTAGAAATGACAAGCTCTGCCAGCCATTCTATTAACTCCTCAAGAATAATGGATATTCTAACTTAAGCTAACTAAAATTAGAAAATCAAGATTTTTTTCCTTAAAGGTGTGTATAATACATTTACATATGAACACACAAATAAGTTCTGATATAATAAGTCTCTAGTCTTAGTACCGGGTATAAATAGAGCAGTCTTTTTAAGGACAGGTCTATATGAGTGTAACAGGCTTTTCAAAATCAGAAGAAGAATCTGAGACTCAGAATAAGCCCTGCTTTTGAAATAGTGCCTTTAAAAGAAAAGGGAAACCACTGTCACATATATTTTAAAGCTGGAATGATGTTAAAGAACCACCTAATCTATAAAAGCATAAAAGCCTACATTACTAATGGCAAAATCTGGAAAAAGAAAATATACATTGGTCATGAAAGAACTGATTTACAAGTATAAATACTCATTAAAGGCAGAGATGGGACAAATTCAGAACTTTCCTAGTAAAATTATCATAAGATTAAAATTACATAAAAAGTGAAGAATGTACAGAATAGATACCAGATAAGAAAGTGGAAATTTCACAAATGAAGTGGTGAGCAGAGAAAAGGAGCAAGGAAACGTTGATGAAAGACATATTTAAGGAGGGCAGATCTTAAAACTTAAATTTGATCTTCATTTATATTTAATGTCAGCTATTAATATTTCATCAATAATTGAGGGAGACTAGTGATTAAATTATCCTAAGCACTCCTTTGCCTTTTCTGAGAAAAAACATTTATCTAGGCAGGAAAAATGTATTTTACATTTATATGCAGGTACAAAACTTACATTGTTATGAGATTTGTCACATCAGTTCCTTCATATCCTTACATTTTTGCAGTTGCAAAAAGGAAACAGTTCTACTACATGTTAATTTGTTCTGAGAATTTTGTGTGATAAGACATCTAATATATTTTACACAGTAGCTTCTTTATGAGAAACAACTAACAAATGCTGTTTCTTATTTAAATAATAATTACAAATTGCTAAATTTTGATGTAAAATTTTATGAACAGCATCAGGAAAGATAAACAGACTATTTGATATAAAAAAGAAGCAGAAAATAATCAATGCACATGTCAGTAAATAATAACATTTAAATCATCTACTAAATTCCAGGCATGTTCTAAGAGCTTTACATATTTTAATGTATCTAATTATTTCTCATAAAAAACCCCAAGAATGTAGGTTGTAATCTTTATCTAAGAATGCCAAGGCCAACGGAGTTACATAATTTACCTGATGTCATAGGCTGCTGTGTGACAGAAGCTAAATCTCAAACATATACAATATATTTACATGTACTTTCTGGCTCATGGGTGAGCCTAGAAATTGTTACCTATATTATAATGATGATTATATAAGGATTATTTATAACACAAATACATGTGGAACAATCAAGTGGAAACAACCAAGGGGAAAGGGAAACTTCCTTGCAGTAGAATTACAGCTAATATATTTGAAAAAAATCAACAATTGCTATCCATCATCATAACAAACAACTCAGGCAAGAAAGAAAAATAAATGCTAAGACTGATGGTTAAGTGTGGGATAGGAATAGAATATTTACATAGTTTCCAAAATCTCTGCCCAAATACTTTTTGATTGCTAACAGAATAACAATCACCTTTGAGCAGAGAAGTCTGGTACTTACCCTATTGATCAAATGATCAAAGTTATTAACATCAGTGATGGAACAAATCTACTCCAAGTGCCTACCTAGAAGGAACAATAAAGCGAAGCCCTCATCACTTACATAAATAAGCATATAACCTTGTTCTCATCATAAGGGAAACAGACAAACCCAAACTGAGGATTTTCTGAAAGAAAATATCCTCCTGAACTCTATAAACTTCATGAAAAGGGCTAGACAATATGGCCCCAGTTTAGTATAGGTTTCTATTAGAGCTTTATTGGAGCGATTAATTCTTGGAACATATGTTGTAGGAAGAAAGAGAATGAACTCAAGTACAGGGAAAAGCTGAGTTGGTTACAGGCTCAATGGAGGCCCCAGGAAAGCATCTGCAGATTCTCAAGTTGGGATGTTCCCAAGGAGTTGCTGGAGTCAGGGCAACCTTTGGCTGCAGGGAGTGGGCATGTGCTGGCGATGGCCTCCTGGGAGATTGACCTCTTGTAGAAGGCTGAAGTAGAAGGGTCTCAAAGCTGCAATATCTCAGCAGCAAAAGAGTTATTTCCTCCTCGTAGGTGAAGGGGAAACTGGGTGGATCTCACACAATCATGAGCAGAGTGCTCAAAATCATCCAGAGATGGGTAGGAATGCAGAACATTTAAATGAACTTACATGTGTTAAGGGTGATTGAGTCATTCATATGTTAAAAAGTTATGAATGAATCCTTAACCGATGGCAGTATTCTCAAGGATACATTTTTATACTTTATGTTTAATATTGTTCCTAGAATTTATTGTAGAACATGCAGTTGTTTATCTTATATCCACTTAGTGTTGGCATTTTAATTCAAGTTAAACGGGTGAGTACAAAGTGTGGAGGAGCACCATGGACTGTGGATGTTTGGGCAATGGGAGCACTGTGGTAACATCAGTGGAAGTGGGGGTAACTGTATTACCAAAATACAAACAACATTGTAAATGACATCTCAATTTAAAAAATAGATAATAAAGAAATGTGCTAAAGCAGCTAAGAATGCCAAACAATGTTGCTTGCATTCGGACATGTATAAGGAGCAGAACTTGAGAAATTCCAATCAACAACTCTTGTCTTGTGTATCTATATTAAAGCTTTATTATATAATTTAGATCACTATTCTTGTTCACTACCTATGGCAAGAAAATTTAAAAATCTACAGCCTCTTGAGATGGGCAAAAATATATCATCCAAGTTTTGCATAATCTTAAGATAAAACTCTGAGCTTCAAAAATGTAGTCAATAGCAAAGACAAGTTCATAAAAGAATGGTTTTTTATAAAAGATTTATTTATTTATGCATGCAAGAGCTGGGGTACAGGCCAGAGATGCAGGGGGTGAGAGGAATCACCAGTGACAGAGTAGGAAACAGAACAGGCGGGTTGACTGAAATACACTGCTGAGGGGGGCAGTGGGCGAGACAGGAGAGGTCTGCTGCGCCATGTGGGTTGCTCCCTGGCCGGCCGGGGATTAAACTCATGCTGCAGAGGCTGCAGATTGCTTCATAGTGCAGTGCTTAACCCTTTGCGCCACCAGGGAGGCCCCATAAAAGAATGGTTTTAAGGAAAAGAAAGATCTCACTCTGGTAGTATGATCTTTCCATGGATCTTAATTATGGATCTTAATTTCTTCTTGTGGCTTCAACTTTTACTACGTTGCACTCGTCAAAATAGATTGGAACATATCCATTATCTTATCTGACACATGATTTAAACTTGTTCATGTCCAACCCAATAGTTAGAAATCCCACATGAAGAGAAGTTAATTAGTAAGTTTATATTAGCTATATTTGTCACGGAAAATTAATGGAAAAGCAAGAGATTATAGTTACAACTGAAATCATACAAATCAAGGGAAAGAAAAACTTCATGACAAATGGGATTATCAAATGCCATGAAATGGCTTTAAATTTAAATGTGTAATAAAAAAAAGTTGAAAAATATGTCACTTAAAAAATAAACTATAGTTCAAAGAATGTAAGATTAGGTGTAGACAGTATAGTTTTCAAGTTGTCTACCTCTTTGCTGGGCTCTAAATATGCCCCAAACAAAGATTCAGTTGGAGACTTATATGTCAACATCCATATCTTCTGAAGGATTTCGAACAGGTGGACATTGGGTATAAAAGCTTTTGAGCAATGAGTGTTTCCAGGTAACGCTTCACTAAATTGACAAACATTACTTTAATCCTAACAATAGAGCTACATAAAATATATCATCACTGTTTTACCTAGGTAGAAAATTGAAGGCTACAAGATTGCTACTTTCTTTATGTCAAAAATCAAGGAATTGTGTGAGCAAGTGAAAGTAGAAATATTAAGAGGAGATATTTCCCAAATAAGACAACTTCTTATTTCTTTTAATTCTACTGAGGGAGAGGGAAGGAAAAAAAATATGCATTTTTAATAAAGAGATAACCAGGTTTATTCCAGATTGAACAAGTTTATTAGGAAAATGGAGAAATGGCTTTTACAGAAAAAATGAAAGGCATGATCTGTGCTGGCATCATTCCAACGAGACACCACCCAGGAGTTCTTGGAATGATTTTCGCTCACTCGTGCATTTCATGAGTTAAATATCAGACAGGGGAATGTTGGCATACTAGATCCAGAGGGCACCAGAAGTCTTCAGCAAGACTCAGAACCTGTGGGGTTCAGAAGTGGAGAATCCCAATGTCCAGGTGTAGAGAGGGAGTCTCCCACAGTCTCCTCAATAGTAGTAGCCATAGCCACAGCCCAGTCTGCGGTAGCCACAGCCATAGCAGGAGCCATAGCCACAACCCAGGCCGCCATAGCCATAGCCCAGGCCGCCATAGCCATAGCCCAGGCCACCATAGCCACAGCCCAGGCCACCGAAGCCATAGCCCAGGCTGCCATAGCCACAGCCTAGGCCACCGTAGCCATAGCCCAGGCCTCTGTAGCCACAGCCCAGGCCTCTGTAGCCACAGCCCAGGCTGCCATAGTAGTTTCCGTAGTAGCTGCCACACATGGTGTTGGTGGTTGAGGTTGTTCTTGGGTGGAGAAGGAGAGTAGGTGACTTCAGTGCAGACAGCCCCTGCAGAGGGCTATTTATACGCCCTCAGCATTGGTGTGGTCCACTACGTGTCATGTCATTGGCTCATTTTATGACTAATATAATTAGTTTGTTGTGAAATTTAGGAGACTTGACCTCTGGTTTGGACTCCTCTTATCTAATTGAGGGTTTGAATGACAGGAGACGCCCAGACACTCACAACCACACAATCCTGTCCCAACCTGGACTTTTATTTTAACCTACTGTACCCATCCTTTATATCAAAAAAGAATACATTTGCTACGCTCAATCTTATTTGCTCTTGGGCCCAGTTAGTTCATTTATTTTTTGAGATTTCTTAAGTATATACTTCTTTTGACTGATGATTTTTTTCTTCTCTTCACCCAAATTACTATTTTTTTTTTTTCGTGGATTCAGTTCTCTTTATATACTGAAACTGTATCTTTCCTTCCCATGATGCTAATAATAAGTCAATTAAAATTTCTAAAAAAGCAGATCTGAGGGCCTCCCTTGGTGGCACAATGGTTGAGCGCTGGGCTGTGAAGCTGTCCCCAGCATCTGTAGCACCGGTTCAATCCCCGGTCACTGACGAGGGTCCTACTTGGTGCACAGACTTCTCCTGCCACCCGCTGCTCCCCTCAGCAGTGTGTTTCATCACTCTGCCTGTTCTGTTCCCCGCTCTGGCTCTGGTGAATCCTCTCACCCTCCTGTGCTTCTGACTGTACCCAGTGCTTATATAAATCAATCAATCTTTAAAAAAAAAAGCAGATCTGAGAAAAATGCATTGTATTCTTCTACTTACTCAAGGAGTCTACTTCTCATTTATGTTCAGTCTTCCTACCAAAAGACTGCAAAATTATTCCTTGAATTTCTATGATTTTTAAACAAATGGAGCATATTGTGATATAAATTTGTTAGCATTCTAATTAATATTAAAATAATTTTCTAAGTAACTACCCAGTAATCTCATCATCATACATCTAACTTTATCCATATGTTAAAGTTCTCCTTTATCAAGACTTTCAATCATTATTCTCTTTGTAAGTAGTCACAGCAAGTTCTCTGGCATAGCACCAGATAATCACTGTCTTTATTAAAAATAGATGTAAGAAAATAAAATTATATTAAAAAAGAAGATATAAACAATAAAACAAACAATTAGTGTGATAATCCATACCACCAGGCAGGCACCAGCAAAGTGAAATGGCTTCATATTACTGTCAGAACAGGTACTTTTGTGTCTTTAAGTGAATGGATGTGGGTAGGAGATATTAATCACATTTTCATGTGTAATCTATCAGAGTTCTGTGAATGTAATATTTCTGAGTCAAAATATTATCTTTATCTCCTTCCTCATAGCCTTTGGTCAGGACAGAGAGTATAAGATGTTTAATAACACTGTATTTTAGTGAACTTTCTTCTAGAGATCATAGGAATAAAGACCCAAGACTTCTAAATTTTTCTAACTCATCTGTTTTAATATATGTGTGTATGTAATAATAAAAAAATACATCTTAATAAAATAATGTTTTAATAGTAGGAACCATATAAAAGACATTCATTTACTCGTAGATATGTTGGTGTATTCTTTCCTATTTGCTGTCATAGGTTCATTTTTGTAAACAGACTTTTTTTGGAGCATTTTTATTTTATATATTTTTGCCATCATTTTTCATTTTTGCACAATGTATGCATTTTCATCTTGGTTATAGTCCCCATACAATTCCCACCCCCCTTGTTTTGGTCCTACTCCCTCTTCCCCCCTGTAGTGTGTCTCTGGTTTAAAGTTGCTTGTTGATTTTGATTTTTACTTTATTATCATTAGTCTTTTTCCTGGCCCCTTATTTAGGTTTTCTAAATTCCTGCTATGAGTAAGACCATCCGGTATTTTTCTTTTTCTTTCTGGCTTATTTGCTGAGCACGATCCCTTCCAGCTCCATCCATGTTACTGCAAATTGCATGAGTTTATCTTTTTTGATTGCTGAGTAATATTCCACTGTGTATATGTACCACATCTTCTTGATCCAGTCATCTAATTTTGGGCATTTGGGTTGTTTCCATAGCTTAGCTATTGTAAATAGATGTAAATTAATGTTTCTAAACAGACATTTTTGTTGAACTTTATTCACCTTTTGCTGGATTGTGATATTAGGATTATATCCTTCTTAACTTTGCCATCCAGAAAATAACAGTAGTCTCCACTGTCATAGTGCTGAGTCAATCCAGAAATAGCTAGAATAATTTTTCAGTAAAACGTAATTTAAATAACATGATGGCCAGACTGCCTCTAGGATAAGTTCTTAAAGCATCACCTGAAATTGGTATGACTAAATAGCATCAGTCAATTAAAAATGCTATCATTAACTTGGACTTTTTTGGTATTTGATTAAAGTAGCTATAAAGACATCATTATTTTGTGCAAAACAATGTCCTTAATAACATGTATTATTTCTCCATAGAATAGTTATTCCCCCTAGGTCTTATTTCCTGCAGTTTGTTTCCTCTGAAGACTTGAGTTCATCTTTTTATTCTATCATTGAAAACATTGAGCCCAATGAAATGTTTAATCCTTTTTTGGTGTGAATTTATAAACTGTATTCAGTTCTTAAGTACATTCCATAAAAAAAAAAAAGAAACAAAAACAAAAATTGGTTCCTCACTCCTCTCCGTCTAATATCTCATTTTCATTTATTTCATTGGAAAACATATATTTTCATTAACTTTCCAGTCTCTTTGGTCTTTGGTCCATGCTACTCCACTAAAATTCCATTCTTAACAAATCTGGACATTCCATCTTCACTGGACTAAGGCTCTGAGTAGCAGTGAAAATCATCAACTTTTCTTTTCACTCCTGAAAGACTCTCCAGCCCTTGCCTGCATCCTAACTCAAACATTGGCTTAATTCCAAAACCATCAGTTGCTCCTTTTATGTATTTCTGCTCTTTCCTCTCAATCTTGAATCTAAGAAACTTCCTAGTAGTAAAGATCTTGTCTATTTTGTTCATTGCTCCATCCAGAGCTCATAAGTGTCCTTCACACAGTTATTGAAAGTTTAATATGTGAAAATTCTATAAATGAAAACCAAACAATCAACTAACATTTTTAATTATTCTTCCCAACTTTATTTTGAAATAATTTGAATTGCCTAAAATTGTGAAATTATGTAAAATGTCACCATAATAATACATTTCATTCAGTATATGTCATAAACACACTTACGTCAATGTCTTTTATAAAAAAAAAAAAAACTGCAATGATCTAAACTAAGAAATCAACCTTATAAAATATTCTGAACTAATCTATAGGCATTATTTGGATGTCATCATTTTTCTACTTGTTTCCCTTTTTTCTTCTAGGAGCCAATCCAGGATTCCACATGGTATTTGGCTGCTTTATCTCATTAGTCCCCACCAGTTGGTGACAGCTTCTTAGTATTTCCTTAACTTTTATGACATTGATAATTTTAAAGAGCCAAGTGTAATATGTCCCTCAGTCTAAATGTGTCAAATTTTTCATAAGAAAATTAAAGCCATAAATTTTGGGAAAGAATGCTAGAAGAGACATGCATATTATGTTGTGTCTACATCGGGCAGGTTCATGATGTTAGTAAATCTTTATGAGTTTCTAAAATAGATAATAAGTTCAAGTTACTAATAGGATAAGTTCTAATAATTGCACATTACCATAGTCCATGGACTTGAATCTCCAGCAATCTACCATGGCTTTTCATCATATACAAGGTGATGATGCATAAATATATATATATATATATATGAAGAATAGGAGAAAATGAATAATATTGTCTCACAATAACACACATGAATTATTCATGCCATCATTTCTTCCCCTCTGCTCCCTTTCCAGCCTTCAGTGCTTCTTTGAATCTGCAATTCTGTTTGTAAGGCTACACATATGCGGATAGGAAGAAGGATATTATTGGAAAAAAATATTTTCAAGAAGTGAAACCTGTATGTACTCTCTAGTTTATGATAACTAGTAATATAGTTTAGATTTCACATCTGGAATAAACAAAGCCCCAAAATAAGGAAGGAATCTCTCAATAAAGGCACATGATTTCATTCCAGCCACCCTGATGCACAGAAAAGTTGTCTTGGGTATATTGGTTATGAAAAACTTTTAGGGTAGTTTTCATGCAATTTAGTTTAGAACATGAATCTCACAGGGTTTGTGATTTGTCCCACATGTCAGTCAGTTGCTAGATAAAGCCTGGTGTGGATTATAAACTAAAAATGCTAAAGTGACTCTTCTTCAACTGAGACTTCAAGTCTTAACACAATGAGCTTTTACAGCCTCTACCATGGTGGCCTGGACAATGGCTATGGCACCCTGGGATGTGGCTGTGATTATGGAGACTATAGATATGTTTGCTTCTGTCCATACTGCTATGAAAGATACTGGTCTTCTGGCTTCTGAGTGAATCATTATTGTTGATCTGTTCAGGACACTGTCTTATGAGAGAGTGTGTATACCTACTGCATTATTTGTAATAATCATATTATCATCTGTTCAAACATGGCAACCGATTCTTAGACTACCATGCAACAGCAGAACTTTCTAATTGAAAAGACCTGAGTTTCCAACAAATAAAAAAAAAACAAAACTGATCTTGCTTTAGTGTTCTATTTGAATACATTTGGAGAAATGTGTAAATTCATCTTAAAGATAATCTATTATATACACCTACAACATTTTTCATGTGTATTTATCCAGCTGCCTTCTGAATGGATTTTGTGTGTATGTACATGTGTGTATGATTGTTGACCATTAACTATCTGTAGTTGACAATTTAGATTTATGGTTGAAATGTTATTTCCAACTATTATTGGAAATGTCATTGGAAATGTTATTTTGCTATTATTGGAATGCTATTATTGGAAATGTTATTTCCAATATTTATTTGCACTAGCAGATTCAAGGGCTATGAATACCTACCTGGATATACTCAAAATTGTATATATTTTTTTGTTTAGGTATATCTAATATTTGACTATAGATATTTGCAAAGTGGTATCCCTCTTATTTAGTATTTCATTCATGATACTTGATATTTTGATATGCCTCTAGGCAAATGCAATTTGATATTTTTCATGAATTGACAATATATTCTTGACTCATCTTATGCATTGTAACTATGTAATGACTTTCTTGCCTGTCATTTTCACTTTGTCATAAGGATATATAGAATATGAGGTCTATTTCAGGGACTTTTAAAAATAAAAATGGAAAGTGGACACTGTACATGAATAATGTATAATTCCCAGTGAATAATACCTAAAATTAGTGCTTTGAATAAATTAATAATATTGATATAGCCTAACTGGGTTGACTGAGAATATAAAAGAAAGAATACAAATCACCAAAATGAAGAATGAAAGAATAAACATCGTTTAGATCCTACAGGCACCAGATATAAGTGGACAGTACAGAGAGAATGCTATGCCAATAAATTTCACAATATAGATTAAATGGATATTTTCCTTTATATACACAAATTAACAAACCAGAGAAACCAGTGTTGCTTTTTGGATTGAACAAGTTTATTAGATGAGCAAAGAAACAAGTTCCAGCACAAATGTCATCAAGGCAGTTTCTATGACACCCAAGTCCTTATGGAAGCAGAACTCTAATGTCATGGGTGAATTTCACCCACTCTCAATTTTGAGTCAAATACAGGAAAGGGAAAAGTTATTGTATCAGATGCAGAGGACACCAGGAGGCAAGTCTTCATCAAGGTTCACATATGTGGGATTTGAAATTGGGGACTTCTAATGTCCAGGTGTAGAATGTGAGAGTGTCCATGGAGTCCTCAATAGTAGTAGCCAGAGCCACAGCCATAGCCACAGCCCAGTCTGCGGAAGCCACAGCCATAGCTGGAGCCATAGCCACAGCCCAGGCCACCATAGCCATAGCCCAGACCACCATAGCCATAGCCCAGGCCACGATAGCCACAGCCCAGGATGCCATAGCCATAGCCCAGGCCACTGTAGCCATAGCCCAGGCCACTGTAGCCACAGCCCAGGCCTCTGTAGCCACAGCCCAGGCCTCCATAGTAGTTTCCGTAGTAGCTGCCACACATGGTGTTGGTGGTTGAGGTTGTTCTTGGGTGGAAAAGGAGGGTAGAAGTGTCACTTCAGTGTGGACATGTCTCTCTCCACAGCGCCTTTTATAGGACCTCAGTATGGGTGGAACCCACCACATGTGCTCACTTCATTGGCTCATTTTATGACTAATTTAATTGTGTGTTGTCTCAAGACAGTTTCACACTGCCCGCAGGCACTGAGGAGGCTGCTTAACCAATGGAGGCCCTTTAGCAAAATAGCACAGCCACACTTTCATAGTCCATTGTGCTCCCCTCCCCCACTGTGTGCTACCCCATCCGCTTCCCCCTCCAATTCTGAAAGTCTCAGTTCTACAGTCGGCTTTCAAGGGCTAATTTTGGAGTTTGTCTTTATCTGACCCTTATCCGGTTTCTCTATATTTTTAACTCCCATGTCTGCCCAATGTTAAATAGTGGCATTCAGTGGAGACTTATGTTACAGTGATGAGATTAAAGTATAGAAGGGAATTTGGGAGATCCTCTGTATTTTAATCTGCTTTCATAATTTCAACTACCTTGATAAGAATTAAGAAAACAAGGATTCATATAATCAAACTGATAGAGGAACCATCTTTTATTCACTAAAATGTTTCTTGGTTAGCATGTATCCTTGTAGGTTTATTTGTTATAAACAAAATATGCAAATACATTATTGTGATAATATTTTATTCAATGTCCTTCTTGATAGAACATTATTAGCAGCTAGATTTTTATCATATTACTGTAAAGATTTCCATAAAGAGAATGGAATTGGTGCTTTGGAAATGCTATGGAAATATTGTTATTGTCTGTTCAAATTAGACCTAATCTAATCTTTGATGACTCTGGGTTGTAATTGCATTGACTGATGGAATTTCTCATCAACTAAGGAAAAAATCCTTTGATATTTTGTTACTCTCATGTTTGTAGACATCTAAATTTAACAATTTTCATGAGGGAAAAATAGCTAATTTTGCTTTTCAATAAAGCTAATAACTTTCACAATATGTACTGCTCATCATCATATATCTTCATTTCATTCCATTATTTGCATCTTCTTTTGTGTGCCTATGAGAGCAAGAAAAAATAGAGACAAAGACAGAGACACTGAGAGACGTAGAAAGAAATGGTTACACTTGGGGCTGTTTTTGTGCTGATGTGGTAAAACACACACCGGGGCTAATGATTTTTCCTGTGAGTGACTGTGTTAAAGTCTCTTGTGTGCTGCTGCAGGAGCTGCTCTGCTCCCCATTGAATGCAAGTCTCATTTTAGGAAAATTCATAAATTGGAAAAAAAAAAAACAGTAGCACTGTTGTCCATCATATATTCTGTGTGCTTCGATTTTCTCTGCTCTGCATGTAAACACGTGCCTCTGGAAAGCTGTATTTGCACCTCTACATGATAGATTCTGTCTCCTTTTGGCTTTCAGATAAGAATCCTCCTTAGCAGCTTGTTGATATGCCCGATAACTCTAGATTTATTTCCACAGTAATATTACCTCATTCTGAGGCCTCTCTCAGTGACTCTTTAGAAAGTGCCTGACTTTGACCATCTTCCGCAGAATCCTATTATCATTTATGAAAGTGGTGATTTATGTAGAATAACAACTTGCAAAACATGTCTGACCCAAAGGAATGCTGAATCCTGGGGGCTTAGCTTTCAGTGGTCCTCCTGGTGGTGCTCACTTCCTTGGCTTTATTCTTGACATTCATTATTAGTTTAATTGACTAATAGTTAATAGTAATAACAAGGACAATAAAGCAGAAATAAACAATAGTTACTGTTCTTTCATCTACTATGTTTTACTATGGTGGTCTATCAATGATAGAAGATCTGCCGAAGATTGCCCTTGTAGATTAACAACTACAGGCTTTCTGTAAACAAACAGAGGCAAAAACTCTGTGGTTAGGGGGATGAAAACGAAATGGGGAGGGGGCATGAGGGTCAGTGGAGATGGACTGTGAGGTCTTTGGTGATGGGTATATTATGGCAAAGGTGCCAGAAGGGGAGATCCTACACTTCTACTATGGAACCAGCTATGCAAACCAATATTAACTCAATGAAATATTTATTAGAAAGGCAGATAATACATTTATTAAGTAAAAAAAAAAATACAACAACAACAAAAAAATATGTGTTGCATCCACTCCTTCCTATGTAAATGTGACTTTCTCAGTCAATGACTGGTAGAAAATGGAAATAATTCTCCTAGGGAAATATGTAGAGAATTGATCTCTCCTTAATGAAATATAAAATAGAAACTCTCTTTGATATTTCCAGAAATTTTCTTATTTAATGACTCAAAAACTCACAAGTTAAACATTCTAATTTCTATTTTACCTATGCCTAATAAACACATTTGAAGGTTTTTGGTAAAATTGTGCAGGATTGAACACAATTTGTATTTGCTCCTATACATATATCTGATTCGTGATACAAGTTGGTATTCTAGAACTGTGATGGAAACCATTTAGTTTTTGTACTTTTCTTCATGATTAAGTTATTGTGATACACTATGGAAAACTAACCAGCTCTCAAAAGCAATAAACTCTTGCCATTCATGGTAACCTGGATGGAACTGGAGTGGATTAGGCAATGTAAGTTTTTAGTTCCCTTTAATTACCAATTTAAACAATAATTTTTCTCTCTCTAGTGGCCTCAAAGCAGCATATTTTTTTTATTAACCTCATTCTTTGTTTTCTAGTTTATTGATTTCTGCTTTCATTCTTTCTAACTCCTTTCTACTTACTTTACAAAGTTTGCCTTTTTTTCTAGCATTTAAAGTGAAAGTTCATTGTTGATTTTAAAACTTACATCTTTTATAATGTATGTAGTTAAAACTATGAATTGCTCTGCTATTGTACTGACCCAATAATGTGAAATCTTGCAACTTTGTGTTTCCTTTCTTGTCTTGTTATATCATGAGAACTTCAAGTATGATCTTGAAAGAAGTGGTGACAGAGAATATTTTTGTCTTGTCTCTCATCTTAGTGGGAACAAATCTAGTTTCTCACTGTCAGCATGGTGTCACCACACGTTTATTATTTTTCTCTTGGTATAATATCTTTTATCAAGTTCAGTAAGTTCAACTCTATTTCTGGCTACTTAAAGTGGATGTTTATTTTCTCAAATGTTTTTTCTGCATCTACTGATAAGATTATGTGATTTTTTTTCTTCTTTAGATTACTGATATGATATATTACATTAATTGATTTTTGAGTGTTGAATTAGCATGTACAATTGGGAAAAACCTCACTTGGCTGCAGTGTATAATTCTTTTTATATGTTTGATACAATTTACTAATATTTGGTTGAGAACTTTTACAGACATGTTCATTTAGGATATTGGCTTATAGTTCACCTTTTTTTTAATCATTACTATGTGATTGGTGTTAGGATAATGTTGGCCACATAGAATAAGTTAGCAAGAATTCCCTCTTTTTCTATCTTCTGAAAGTGGTTGTAGATCATTTGTTTTACTCGCCTTAAATATTTTGTAAAATTTGCCAGTGAACCCATCTAGATCTGGTGCTTTGTGTTTTAGAAAACTATTAGTTATTGATTCAGTTTCTTTTATCTTCCATAAAATATTTTCTAGCAAGTCCCTGGTTTCTAATAATTATAAAATTGCTTGTAATTCTGCTTATTTACTAATCTTTAGTTTGTTACTGAAATATCTGTTGGTTTTTTAAATCCTTTTTCTTCACCACTAGACTATGCCCTCATAAGTAAAAAGTAATTAATCTTGTTCGATATTTCATAAGAAGTCGCCAAATAAATAAAAAAAAGACCTAACTTATTCAGTGGTATATCATGCTCATACATTGGAAAACTAAACACTGCTGAAATGTCCAGTTTTCCAAAATTGATCGAAAGATTTAACTGAATCCCAATTAAAATCTCAGCAGAATATATATTGACAAGCTGATTCTAACATTTAGATGGAAAGCAAAAAAAAAAAAAAGCCACAATAATTTCAAAGAAGAGCAAAATTAATGTTTCAAACTACCTTATATAAAGATTTTCTATAACCCTATAGTAAGTGAAAACTTGTAATGCTGGTGAAAGAAAGAGCACTAAATAAACAGTGGATGGGGAAATACATACTCTTTCTTTTTTTTAATTTAAATTTTATTTTTATATTCCCCATACAATTACAGCCCCCTTATTTTGACCCCAATCCCTCCTTTCCCTACCCCCCGCCCCCCATAGAGTGTCTCTGGTTCATAGTTGTTTGTTAATTTTGATATTTTCTTTCTTATAGTTAATCTTTTCCTGGTCCCTTATTTAGGTTTTCTAAATTCCTGCTATGAGTGAGACCATCCAGTATTTTTCTTTTTTCTTTCTGGCTTATTTCGCTGAGCATGATCCCTTCCAGCTCCATCCATGTTGCTGCAAATTGCATGTGGTTATCTTTTTTGAATGCTGAGTAATATTCCATTGTGTATATGTACTACATCTTCTTGATCCAGTCATCTATTTTTGGGCATTTGGGTTGGGGAAATACATATTCTTAAGGCTCAATGGTGATTATCCAATTTCCCAGGAAGGCTAGAAACATTATTGTTAGTTAGCTGACACAATTACTTGTAGGAACAAAGGAAATCTGTTTATTGACAAAGTATAATTTCTTCCAACTATGAAGTATTTTGTGCTCATAGTCCATATAAAACCATAAAATAGGAGAACCAAACATTTAATTTTGAATATAATTAGAATAAAATTTTCTGTCTTCAGGTAATGCAATGGATGCATTTATCATTCCTCAAAAAATAGATTTTTTGATATAAACACAAATGTTATCTAACTCTTATTTAAATATAGATATGATAAAATGGTGTATCCTTTGGGGGAAAAGTATCAAATTTGAAATATTATTTCAGAGGCATGGAATGTTCTAGGATGCTGTTCTAGCATCAAGATAAATAGCATCTTCTCTAACAAAATAGACACCAGCTACTTCAGCCATAGCCATAGCCAGACCCACAGCCACAGACATAATGAGGACCATTTCCATTTCCATTCCCAATCAAATCCCTGCAATAGTCATGACACATGATGTCGAGGGCAAGATGTCAAGGGCAAGGTGTCAGTTGAGGTTCAGGAAATTGCTTCTGAAGTTGGAATGTCACTTACTATCCTGGGACCTTTATGAACTGATAGGAAGTGTCAGGACATAACATCAATTTTGTGATTCATGTAACACATATTTATTTTAATATCTGGCGTGTACAAGTCACTTTTGTCAGCTCATAATGAGAAAACTTTGTCTTCTCATTGCCACAGCGTCTGCCTGAAGTGAACATGCTGTTATTGCACCAGATCTTTGTTGAGGAACCAAGTGGGTGGTTGGTCACCTAGACATTGTCTTGGACCAATTACAAATCTCTAAGGAAAGTTTTCATCAATTATCCAGTCATTTGAACACATGATTCCACAGATAATGTTTTATGGAACAGGTCCCCGTGGCGGGCAGGTTACTTCATTTTTGGAAATGCAACTATTAAAATGAGCTTGACTAATTACTTTGACTAGCTTACCAGCTACTCATTACTTTTAAGGAGACTTCAGTGGCATGCAATGTTGTCCTATACAGAAAATGCTTGATATGTTAAAGACTCCTATGAATCTAAATACCTGTAATATAATATCCTGATAATACATTTTTCCCCAGTTGAGTCATTCTTCAATACATTTTATCAACTCTAGGGAGTCATTTAGTTCAAACCAGGAAACCAACACAAAGTACTTTACATCAACAGTACTTAGCATTTTATAAATCACAAATTTCCTGATACATTTTAATCTATTTGATCCCAATAAAAGTGTGAGAGAAGTAATTTATAATATGGGGATTGAGATCTATGTTTAGGGATTGTACTGAAATTTGCACAGCTAATAGATAACCAAATCAGTCATTTCACATCACCAAGATAAAGTGTTTGTTCTTTTGGTTATGCTACATAAAGTGTCTCTTTGTAGTCACTGGATGCTTGAATACTTGTTTTAACAGGGAATTCATTATTTCCTATGGGTATTCATTTCTTTGTGAAATTACTTTGTTGTAAAAGATACACATGCTTCAGAGCCTCTTGTTATTCCCTAGACAAATTTATCTCAAGGTTTTATTCATAAGCCAGTCCCATCCAGTATGTCTGATAGTGCCTCTCAACCGTCCATTTTCACTGCCCAGGGATCTGGCCTTGACACCTATTGGTAGGAGGGTCTCCCAACCTTTGCCAATACGTAGATATAATCCCCAGGTCATCCAAGTCACCATATTTCTTACCAGATAGTTTACAAAATGGCAGAGGAAGCATGTTGAAAATTACCAAAGAGAAAAAACAAACACAAAAATAGCTGAGACTAATACTTGCTTCTTATCTCACAGTCTTCGTGGACCAGGAGTCTAAGCAAACAGTATCTGCTCAGGACTACACTCACAATAGTGCAATCAAGGTTTCATCCAGGACATCTTCAGAATCTCTTTGCCCTATAATTTGAGTTGCCAGACTTAGCAATGATATATCCAAGATTACACAAGACATATTTTTACCAAAAAAGCTATGTTTTTTATCTGAATTTCAGTTGTATCTATCTTGTCTTTTTATCTCATTTAAACCAAGACGATGAGAAGATAAGCTACTACTGGAAGAAAATATTGGCAAAAGACACATCTGATACATCAATTCAGGTGTGTTTGCTCACCTGTCCCTTGTTTAGCTACCATTACAGTGGCCATTCTATCTGGTTACATCCACTTTCTTACAGCTGTAACTTGAGAAGCCCTCAATTTATGGTCCTTCAGTGTGTCATCACCTCCAGGTAGGATGCATTTTGGTCGATACTGTGATCTGAGATACTGGAGCTTCTCCGTAGGTACCTGTCTGCATGCCTGATGATACACAGGAAACAATGCCCCCCAAAGGAAACATCTAAATAAGGTTTGATCAGATTCATCGGCCTCCCTGATGGCACAAGAGGTTAAGACGCAACCTACGAAGCAATCCGCAACCACTGCAGTACCAGTTCGATCCCCGGCCAGGGAGCAACCCACATGGTGCTGCAGACCTCTCCTGACTCGCCCAGTGCTCTGCTCAGCAGTGTATTTCAGTCAATCTTCCTGTTCTGTTCCCCACTCTGTCTCTGGTGGATCCTCCCACCCCTCATGCCTCTAACCTGTACCCCAGTTCTTGTATGCATAAATAAATAAATCTTAAAAAAAAGGTTTGATCAGATTTCTTGTTAATTAATGTTTGACTTACATTGTTTTCTTGCAATTCTCTTGACTGCTTAGGATCATATCCTGAACATGACCAACTTAAAAAAAATTTTGTTGCCCTTATAATGATGAGCTTTTTAAAAATGAAAATTGGTCTGTAATGAGGACATGGACTCTAGATTGTGGGCTCCACCCACTCCTGGAGTGTATAAAAAGGTGTCAGGGCAGGAGATGGCATTCACATTTCAGAAACCATCACTTGCTCCTCTACTGAACTACTGAAACCCCACCTGTAGACATCATGTGTGGCAACTACTACGGCTGTGGCTACGGTTCTGGATATGGCTGTGGCTATGGTTCCAGATATGGCTGTGGCTACGGTTCTGGCTATGGCTGTGGTTATGGTTCTGGATATGGCTGTGGCTACGGTTCTGGCTATGGCTGTGGTTATGGTTCTGGATATGGCTGTGGCTACGGTTCTGGATATGGCTGTGGCTATGGCTCCAGATATGGCTGTGGCTATGGTTCCGGATATGGCTGTGGCTATGGATCTGGATATGGCTGTGGCTATGGATCTGGATATGGCTGTGGCTACGGATCTGGATATGGCTGTGGCTACGGATCTGGATATGGCTCTTCCTGCTATAGCTACAGGCCATTTGTCTACAGGAGTTGCTATTCTTCTTGCTGCTAGAACATCACCGCAGTCCATGTTTACTTCTAAAATGATCACTCCAAGGCATTTCCTCTTCACTGTTTGATGACGGCAATGGAACCCAATGAGAGAGAGTATTCAGAACCTGCAGAAAACTTGCTGTCTTCTTAGAAATCCAGCTTGTTGTTGAGAAAGACTGAGTTACTCCATGATGTACCTAGAAAGCAGGAGGCATTGTTTAAGTCACAGACCAAGTGCAAACCTCTAACATCTTATTGCATATTTCTGTATTGTGATCATTTCCAAATAAATATGATTCTTTGCTCCTAACAAGTTTGTGTATCTTTTATTTCAGACGTGCCATTGATTTACACTTTTGTCTTCTAAGTCTGTTCCCTTCTCACAGCCTGGCAGAGCTAATCTCAGCTGGTCATTCCAACTGTGTGTCTGGGGTCCACTCTCATTGCTCAGTACCCATGACTTACTGAAGGTTACATATCTTGAATTTCATGCCCAAGAAGAAAGGGTCTCCACTGTGAAGTCCTCTGTTCTGGATTTATTTAACTGAAGCCTTTGTTCTTAAGCATTTGTGTTTTATGGTTCTGGATCAAGCCATGTATTTCCTTTCATGTTAGCTCTAATAAACTTATTGATATATGTATATACATGATATATGTATATACAGGCACATAGACAAATGCCTCAGAAAAAAAATCTACTTTGAGAAAATGATACTGGTGAAATAAATGGGTTAGAAAGAAACAGAGAACAGAGGGCTCAATAGTTATGTATATAAATGACTTGAAGATTGGTTAAATGGCTCTAGATTTGGGTAATATTATAAACAATTAAAGAGAACAAAGATGGGAAACTTTCACTTCTACCATGTCAGAGTCACTAGTCCAAGAAATGTCTTCTCATTAAATTGGAAAAATATATGTGAAATTATTCAGAAATTATACAACAGGTCACTCGGGGTGCCTTAACAAAGAGAAACAACCTGTTATTCCTACTCTCATTTTAAATTTCTGCATGTAATTTTCTTTTTTTAAGATTTGTTTATTTATGGGCCTCCCCTGTGGTGCAGCAGTTGAGCGCTGGGTTGTGAAGCTGCCTGCAGCCTCTGCAGCCAGTTAGATCCCCGGCCGCCGGGCGAGTGTCCCACATGGTGTACATACATCTCCTACCTCCCGCTGCTCCCCTCAGCAGTGTATTTCGTCAGTCTGCCTGTTCTGTTCCCCGCTCTGGCTCTGGTGAATTCTCTCACCCTCCTGCACTTCTGACTGTACCCAGTGCTTATATAAATAAATAAATAAATAAATAAATAAGATTCATTTATGCATACAAGAACTGGGGTGTAAGCCAGCGGTGTGGGGGAGGGGGTGGTGAGAGAATTCACCAGAGACAGAGGGGAAGCAGATGGGCAGATCTACTGATCTACAGGTAATTTCTACTGATCTGCCTGTAAGCTATGGTCAGCTTCTCAAGGAGAATCCAAAGGGCACATGTTGCTAATATCGTATTCAGTGATAAAGGATCAGACAGTGGTTTAACAATAATTTCAGAGTTAGAATAGAAAATAGATACGTTGAGAAAGAAGTGTAGATATTTGCACAGGGATTCCCCTATGCCTGCTCCTGCTTGAGCAAGGAAGCTCAAGTGCATAGCTAAATTCCCCCAAGAGGACCAAAGAACAATTGTCCATCCATTAGCTAAGTGATTCCCAGAAATCTCACTGGACTTAGGGACATTTGCATTCTGCCACTGAGAGTGAAATTGGACCCCCCCAAAGGAAACACTTTAGTAGTTGGGTAACCTGGTATTAAAGTTTATAATAGATCAACCAAGGTGTGATTAAAATCAAGGGCCATCCTTACTCAATTTCTTGCCCAAACCAACTTAAACACTTGCCGGAGTCCAGCTCTGACCGGGACATTAATTAAAGAAAGACAAGAACTTCATAGCAATAACTCTGAAAACTCAAGTAGAAGTTACCCTTTTGCATTTCTAAGAGAAATTTCCAATTGTCAGGGTGTTTCCCTCCCCATCCAGGGAGAACATGGACAGCCAAATCTCTAGAAATTTGCATCAGTGGAGAAGACTTAGAATTACATCTTCATAATTTACCCTTGTTTACTGTGCCTTTCTACCTCTGTACAATTCATTTGAGCAAACTGGATGTCACCTTTTACTCATTTATTTACTTTTTTGTGACTCACCATATTCCCTGGGATTTTAAGTTCAATTATATTTAAAGATACTAAAATACATAAGTGTTTCGTTTATTCTCTTTTCTCTCCTTGTTTCATAAGAAGTAATGATAGAGAAAATATTTTTATTTGATTGCATAAAAAGAAGTTATATAAAGTTTAAAAATAGTCTTAATTTATGATGCTTCTAGAACATCAGTTATAGTATATTTACTTCTGACCCATAAAAAAGAAGTCAGTTAATTTGAAAGACAAAAGCCACCATGGCATTCTGCCTCATGACCTCTTCATCTGAAGCCACAGTTTGTTCTCTGCTTCCGGGATGACTGCACATACTGATTTTACCAACTATTTTGTACTACATAACATGGGTCACCATTTTCCACACTCTACCAATACTTTTCCCTTGACCCACACCCCCAACCTAATCCAGTAACACATAGCTTCATTTTTTATAGCAACTTACTTATAACCATTTCTGGTTTGTCACCTTTGCAGAGGCAACACTAACAACACCACAGCAGATGGTGAAAACGAATCATTAGTTCTCACTCATCTAACATGTTGGAGTGCACCAGTGTGGGTCTGTCTTCATGTTTTCTCTTTCTGGGATCTATGCAAAAGGGAAGTGATTTTTAAGGACATTTACTGCAAAGAGAAAAAGCAGACTTACGAACAAAACGTGATAGCTCTGAAAGGATGCGATGGAAATCACCACTGTTCATAAGCCAAACACGTCACATGGCAAAGCCATCATTGCAGCTGGGAATTCTAATATCCTTACAGAGAAGAGAGAGATGTGCCACACCTCACGTCTGCATGCTGTGAGAGAGGCTCATCTGGTGAAAGTTTTGTCCAAACACACAAATACCTTGTGACATGGCATGTGATCTGTCCACACTGACTTTGGCTATTTTTTTTTTTTTTTTGTGGGACCCTCGCTGGTGGCCGGGGAACGAACCAGCGCTGCAGAGGCTGCGGGCAGCCTTGCAGCCCAGCGCTCAACTACTGTGCCACCAGGGGAGGCCCAACTTTGGCTATTTTTAACCAATCTAAACACAATTCCCCAGTCCAACCAATCCAACCAATCCAAACACAATTCATGTGTATTAATTGCACATGAAAAGTTTAGGTAGGTTATAGGGAGAAGAATTTAGACTCCACACTCAACTTCTATTAACACATGATGATGATGATGATCATGATGATGATGATGATCATGGGTGTGATAATGGCAAATGCCAGCACCTATCCAGTATTATACAAATGTCTTCTAAGTGCTTGACATCTATAAACTCACTTAACATATACAACCCTGGAAAGAAGATTCAAATGTCATTTACATTTTGCAGAGAAGAAAAATCAAAGCACATGTGTAAGAAACAGTATCTTAGTTGAAACAGGTGCAGCCTCCTGGAGTAAGGAAGGAAGATGGAACACCATTATTTTGTTCTCTACTTTCAAAGCTAACTTCATTAGAAAAGCAATAGTTGCTGATTTTACTTCAGTACTGAACCCAGTGTAAGGAAGAAGGAGAAATAAGGACATGGAAGAATCTTATTTGGCTGGTTGATTTGGAGTTCTCCGTTCCAGCTGATGGTTGACTAGGCATCTCTTCTTGGGTTTCCTGGCAGATAGTTAAGGTGGCTTTTTTTTCTTGGAGTACTATCAGACTGGCCTTCTAGATCCCTGATACTCACTTCTCTTGATCCAACATCTTGTTATACTTTCTGATATCTTTGTTTGAGAACTACGTAGTGTTGAACTTAAAAATTTTAAAGGCTAGGCATTAATCCTATACTTTGTACACTGATTTATCATGTGGATGACTAACTTAAACACTTTTGTCCCCCAAATTTCTTGATCCCCTCATCACCTATATTATCAGTATCAGGGGGTGTTCTTTTTCTAAAAATAAAAGCCAGCATCTCTAAATCGTTTGTTATTCCAGTTTTGTATACCTTTGTTTTAGCCATACTATTTCAATTACATAATCAAGATCAATTTTTCCTTACCATTGCTCCATTTTTTAATCTTTTATAACCTTCACTTAATTTCTTATGGTTTACATTTATTGCCCTGACATTATTATTAGTAGTGCTACCTTTAATGGTCATGCATACCAGTTTGGACAATACATTATATGAACTGTCCCAACTGTTTGCTTTTCATTAATCACACTTCTTTCTACATGCTTTCCCCATTTCTCTCTACTCTATCCACTCTCATCTGTCTATTAATTCAAGTCTTCAGTACTCCAAACTCAGTTTCCCTAATAGCTGTTGGAGAAAATCCAACTACCATGTGACCTGGTGCCACCACACATATGCAGCATTCTCCTGTTGGCTGAGTCCACAGTGCTACTTGATAATCCTTTTACTTGCTCTCAAGCCTCTCTCTTTCTCACTTTTACTGCAATTATTCTGCCCCTCCACCATTATCCCTAAAGCCTCTTATTCAATGCTTACTTACTTCTTCTGGCCTCCTCAGCAACACTTGCCTCTTATTTCATGGAAAAAAGAGAATCTATCAGGGGAAAACTCTATCAACTCCGTTCCTACACACTTATCTACATTTGCAGCTGTCTTTTAGCCTTTTATCTTCGTCTCTGCAGAAACCTTGTCCTCCCTCCTGTCCAAAAAAATCATTCTTCCACTTTGCTTTAAATGCCATCTCCCTCAGTGCCCTGCTTGATAAATTATCCTCTCTGTCTACTATATTTTCAGCTTCTATTTTTTTCTACAGACACTTTCCCTTTAGTCCTATAAACATGCTCAAGTCTTTTGATATTAAAAAGCTTGTATCAACACCAGATCACCCCGGTTAGCT